CCCCAACATATTCTATTGGGGTGAAGTGAGCTGTTTTCATTAAAAAGAAGGGTGTCAGTAAATGTTTAGAGAGTGAGTAGGAAGAGTCAAATTTGGATGCAACTAAAGAGAAGAAAAATCCTATTCTTGATAACCCATGTTTTATTTATATAGCTGTTGTACTTTTGGTAGTGTTATTCTTGGTATATCAATACAAGACAATAGTTCAACAAAACTATTGTACTTTTCAACATTAGGAAGGTATGCTAAAAAACCTACCTCAGTAGCAGGTGGGAAAATAGTGAGATTTGTCTAAATCAGGGTGGGCAATTATTTCGGCTGGAGGACTGCTTCACGAATTTTGGTGAGTTGTCGAGGGCTGCATGGGTAGGCCCACCCCTTGACAGTTGCCCCACCCCCTGGTCACCATCTTGTGGTTGGAAGTCCCGCCCCCGAAACCCTGCCTTTTGCCCCCAGAAGTACTCCTTTTAGGAGGGGGTAGTATGGCCTTGGAACTGGAAGTTACACTCTGACACATGGTCTATGTCAGGGGTAGGCAACAGTTTTTGGCTGAAGTGCCGAAAAAACTACAATGTCTACCTTGTAAGGTGCTGGAGTGCTGACATGCCAAAAAACCAAAACTGGGGCAGAGGGTATATGGCAGGATGCACTGCATATTAATATAGTTAATAATCATAAATGTTTCTTTTTATGGTAAATACCAGGTTTTCTAAAAATTCTAAACCTAGTGAGAAGAAATAAAACTTTGTAGAGGGAGAAGAGAGATTAGAAGAGGGAAGAGAGAGGGGAGAGAGGGATGAGAGAGAGATGAAAGAAGAGAGAGGGAAGAGTGAGAGAAGAGAGGGAAGAGAGAGTGAAGGAAGGAGAGAGAGGCAGAGGGAGAAGGAAAGAGGGAGAGAGGGAGAGAAGCGTGGGGAGAAGCAGGCGCAGGGGGAGGCACCGTAGGTAGGCTGGCCCGGCCAGGCCCTTGGGAAGGTGGCAGCCAGAAGAGAGGGGGACCCAGAGGTGGGTGGGGACTGTCCGAGCTCTGCAGACTTGGGCTGCAGCTGGGCCCCCAGCAGCACCCAAGGTGGAGCCTGGCCTGGTCCACACAGCTCCAAGGGATGGGGCACAGCTGCCCTGCCTGTGAGAGGCTGCTGCCTGGCAGGGGCAGGCCGCCGGGCTTAGGGGGCTCCCAGCTTGGCCTCTGTGCATGCTGGGCAGAGAGCGAGTGGGATGGAGTCCCCCAGGCTGTGGCAGGAGCCCCTGGGGCTCTGGGAACAGCTGCGCAAAACTGCACACTTACCTCTGCCGGCCTGTCACAGCTGGCTTCAAGCAGCACATGGCTCAGCTGCCGCTTCTCGATGTCGACTTGGCCAGGGCCGTTGCATCCTGAGCAGCACTCAGGGAAGCAGCAGCTGGTCTGGCTTTGCTGCATGCCACTCGGGATGGGATGGGCCCGGTCAAGTCAGCACCAGCGAGGAGAAGCAGCGGCTGAGCCAGCTGAGCCATGTGCCACTTCCTTACATGCTGCTCAACAGAGGCTCAGACACGGCTTTGCCTCTCTGGTGCCAACCCGGCTGGGCCCATCCCGTCCCGTCCCGTCCTGTCCCGAGAGGTGCGAGGAAGCGGCACATGGCTCAACTGGCTCAGCCGCTGCTTCTCATCACCAATGCCAACCCGGCCAGGCCGTCCTGTCCCAAGCGGCACACAGCAAAGGATGCAACAGGCCCAGCCGAGTTGGCCCTGGCAAGGAGAAGCAGTGGCTGAGCCGTGTGACACTTGGGATTGGCCAGGACAGGCCAGCAGAGGTAAGTGGGAGCCACGGCTTTGCCTCGTACCTCTCAGGCCAGACCAGGCCAGCACCTTAGAAGGGAAGCCATGACTGAGCTGGTCCTAAGCAGCATGAGGCTCAGCAACCACTTCTCTTCGCTGGTGCTGACTCGGCCGGGCTCGTCCTGACCAGAGCAGCACACAGCAAAGCCAGCCTACCTGCTGCTTCCCCGTATGCCACTCAGGACACACTGGGTCCAGCCAGGAGGGCACCCGTGAGAAGAAGCAGTGGTTGAGCTGTCTGCCACTTGGGACTGGCTGGGACAGGTGGCGGAGGTAAGGGCCAGGCTGGTCCTGAGCAGCACTCAATTCAGTTGGCTGAGCCTCCTCTTCTCCTCACTGGTGCTGACCCGGCCGGGCCTATCCCATTCTGTCCCGAGC